GTATCAGCTGTTCCAGTAAATAAACCGCGCGTCGACGATGGACGATGTGGAGGATACCGCGCGAGACGACCGGCCCGGATCGTCCGATGAGGACGTGGAGGACGTCAGCGAATCGGATGATGGCAGCGAGTATTCGTCGCGTAGCGAAGGTGAATCCGATGAATTCAACTGGTACGTTATGTCAGACTCGATTCTCCTGAGCATCTTCCAGTACCTGACGCCGAGGGAATTACTGACCGCGGGTGAGGTGTGCCGATCGTGGTTCAGAGTGTCGCGCGATGAGTTCCTCTGGAAGTATTTATTTTATCGTACGTACAAGATAGATCCGGACGTCGGCATTGTGCCAGGTATGTCTTGCTACTAAGTATTCGCGGCACTTTTACGCGATCGAAAATAACATTCTCCGCCGGATATTGCGTGGAGAAAATATAAATTTATACCATCTATTTTCCGAGAAGATCCATTCATACTCGGAGCAAAGTTGTTAGATTCGACCAAATCCACACATGGCATTTATGAAGATAATAAATGTAAAAGCAATAATAATAGAATAATAAAACTAGATTTAAAAACAAAGAAATATGTGTATAACAAAGTAAACTTTGTTTTTTAAATGAGTTAATTTAATTGTAATTCATGAATTCCTAATTATTCAGATTAGTAGCAACATTCATTTGATTGTTGCTTTTTTATAATGCTACTTTTGTCATTATATATTCTTATAAAACAATCTTGTATATTTTCAATTTTAATCTTTTGACGAATGGTGTTTCAGAAAATCTTTTTATGTACATAGAAAAATTTAATCTTATAATACTATATAAATCTATATAATAATTAATTTTTTATTATTTTATATGCATATGTATATTTTATCAATATTCTTTATATTGATTATTCTTTCGTAGGAAAAACCTCCTGGTTGGGCGAATTCAAACGCTTGGCATATCACACTCCATTGATAGAAACCGAAGTTCTTAAAGAACATTCACATCAGGTTTTACATGTGAGCTTTTCCCATAATGGCAAAATGTTTGCAACCTGTTCAAAAGATGGATATATTCTTGTAAGCTCTTCTTTCATTTTGCAATTATTACTTTCTCTCATATACTTATATTTATCATTCGCATTATTTTGTTTTAGGTATGGCAAAGTCAGTATCCTGTTACCATAAAATATTGGCATGATATGAAGACGTTTAGTTGGAAATATACACAATTTTCCCAGTTTAATTGTACAGATACATTACTTCTTGTGTCTGGTGTTCATTTTGGTACACCCCATAGTACTTCGGGTGAAATAGCAGTATTCAGAGTAGCACGTAAGTGAGATTAAGGTCTTATCAATAAGAAAATAAAAATTATACGAGACTATAAATAAATCTTAACTGGGGGTTCAACAAGATCTTATCTGACGATAGATTTTGATAAAAGAAATTATCTCTATCCAATACATGCTTATATGTATTTTTTGTCTATTTGTAGCTGGATTTGATCTACAGTGTAGAGTAGTGAATAAACCGTATGACATATTTGGTACATGGTACAGTGAACGTTACCTTTTAAGTGGAAATCTACATTGGTTAGCACATTTGGTTAGTACTAGCGTAGTTTGGCTCAATAAAGCAAACCAGGAATCAGCTAGCGAACATGTGCCCATTATGACACAACTCTTTAGGTAAAGTAACAACTCGGTATATTTTTTAATCGATCTGAATCTTTGACTTCTTATTAGAAACATAATTTTCTTAAATGGATTGTAATATTTTTTTCATGCGGTTGTAATGATTTTTCAGATTCTATAATGGAAATGCTTCCTCGATTAGAGCAATTATGGTTGCAAATTGTTTAGCACCTGCTCCAGCTGAATCCACAGAACAACAGAGCCAACCATCTTCTTCAAATACAAAGGAAGAAAAAGGAAATCCACCAAGTCACAAGGATTTGTTATCTCCTTCAGGCGAATCTAATAGCTCACAAAGTCAGGAAGAACCAATATACTACATTTCATCATCAAGAATACAGTATGTGAAAATTTCTTTTTTTTACGCACCGTGTGGTCCATTTAAATTGAAAACCTATGTCACTTATTTTTGATGATACGAAAAAATATTTTAGATGAAAATGAGATGGTTTCAAGGGAGAAAATATTAAGATATAAAAAACCAATATATTTAATCTTTTATGTTAATATGTGCTAAAATAAAGTATAAAATATACATTGGTTTTTTCATATTTCTACGCAAAATAATTAGAGGAATCATATTATGTAAAAAAATTATATAATTCCATTTAAAAAAATAGAAATAATCTTCATATTTTTTTGGCATTTCCATCTAGAAAAAAAACAACGTAATCGAAATACGTTCCTTAAATCGTTTCACTTTTATATGAAACATTTCTTCGTATCAAAAATAAGCGAA